GAAGGAGCGAAGTCGAACAGTACAAGGAGCCGAAGAAGCGGCGAAGGGTAGAGAGTTTCTTCGACAGTTGCTTCCGATCAAGATGCTGTGACTTCCGATCCTTCAGGGAGGGAAAGTCGGTGCAGGGAGCGAAGTCGAACAGCAGGGAGGAGTCGGGGGAGAGATCAAAGCGGAGAAATGAGAGAAAGAGGCCTTCGGCCTCTTTTCCTTGGCTCTTTAACGACACGAGGTCGTGCGTCGTGGGAGAAATGTCGCGGACGTGTCTGCGACGTGCTGAATTCGGCGCCGGACAGAGGGCAGTAAGGTATTTTTTTTCTTTTTTTTTTCTTTGTTCTGTTGGCTTACGGGAAAGGGTTAACAGGCGGGCCTCAAGGCGAGCCTAATATTACGCAATTTTAAACAATGATAAGATGAATCTAAGTGATCTTGGTTGCTCAATTTCGATATCACTAAGTATTAAGTTATCTAAAAAATATTTTATGATAAGGAGGAGCAACATTGACCTTTTAGTGGATTGTTTTGATTTGTGGTCAAAATCGCTTGAATGGCGCTATAGAAATCTATAAAGATGCACTGCTTCTATATATTCAAGGAGGTTTTGAAGCTGGAAGGAGCCACTAAGAAGGATTCGAGAGGAGGGTATCCACGACTCTCTTTATATGCACCCAATGCCCCTTAATGCCAATAAGACAGACACCTACTGTTGACACTGAAGCCGATTCCTACTATCACCAACAATGCCAATGCCCACTATCAACACCAATGCCTATGTGTGGAGTGACCAACAAGGATGACACTGACCAAGATGCGTGGCATTACCATCTGGATGATGACTACCTTTTCCATCGACGTTGATGCTTGCGTTACCAGCAAATCGATGCTTGTAATTGTCCACAACATTGATGCCTGTCATTGCCAACCCGCGCCGTACCCGTGTCCTATATTTTTTAAAAAAGCCGTGTCCCGTGTCGTGTCGTGCCCGTGTCCATGCATCATAGCCAACAATTCAAACATGCACTATCATGAACAAACTCTATGCTTATTATCAACACCAAAAATGATGCTTGTCGTCACCAAAAAGGCTGATGTTTGCAATTGACATCGATGTTGACCGTCACCGTCAACATCTACATCGATGTTTACACCCATGCTGATGCTTGCTATTGTCAATAAAATTGATGCTCGCAGTTAAGACCAACACTAATACCTTCCATCATCAATAACCCTAGCGCTTTCCATCATTAACAATATCAACATTTGTCATTTAGTCTAACCTTGGTGCCTATTATAGCCAACAAGATTGATGCTCATAGTCACCACTAAAACTAATGCCAACCGTCACCAATAGGGTCAATGCTCGCACCGATGTCTATTATCATCAATAACATTGATGCTTGTCGTCAACAAGGCTATGCTTGTTGTTGACACCAAAATCGATGCTTTCCATTGCAACCAAGACTGAAAACCACTGTCATTAATAACCACGACACTTATCATTGCCAAGAAGGTTGATGGCCACCCGAATACCAACTCTGGTGCCATTGTTAGTATAACCCTAACACTAATGTCACCATCAACATTGATGCTTGTTATTGCTACTAAAGCTCATGTTCATAATCTTTAACAACTTTGATACTCACCATCACCAATATGATCGATGCCCTTCATCACTACCAACACATTAATACATCCAAGCCAAGAAGGCTAGCCCCTATCATTAACACAAGCACCAATGGTCGTGGTCAATAGGAATGATTTTCATCATCAATAACCCCAATACTTGCCGTTGCTAACAAGATTGATGCACATAATAGCCACCACGGTTTATTCCTGTTATTAAATATAACCTTGATGTTAGCCGTTGCCAATAAGATTGACTACCACTATCAATACTAGCCCCAATACCTATCATTGCCAATAAGGTTGACATCCAGTATCCCCACCATTGATGATGTTCTTTGTTGCCAATAGGACCGATGCTCGTCTTCAAGACCATTATTGATACTTACTACCATCATGGAAGTTGACCTTTGTCATCATTAATAATAGAGATGCCCATTGTTGAAATCTATGTTGATATTTGCTGTCACTACCAAGATTGATGGCTTCCATCATCAATAACCAAAATGTTCACCACCATCAATAAGATTGATGCCTACCGTCAACGCCAAACTCAATCTTTTCCATCGACACCAATGTTAATGTCTCTTGATCCAACAATGTTGAGGCTTGTTGTCGATAATAATCCTAATGCCATTGCCAATAAGATTGACATATTATTGACATTAGTGCTGACGCCCTCCATCACTTATAAAGCTTATACCCACATCAACACAAACACTGAAACTCTTTATTGCCATCAAAGTTGATGTCAACCATTGTCAACAAATTTGATGTTTATCATCAGCAAGGTCGATCCCTGTTGTTGACACCAATGCTGATATTAGATATTACCATCAAATTTAATGCATGCCATCATTAACAATCCCACAAACATAATCAGAAACACCACCTATGCCTCTTGTCACTATCAAGGTGGATGCCCACCCTTGCAAATAAGTTGGTGTCCACTATTGCCACCAAGGTTGATATCTACCTTCTTGGTCATTAGTATCCTCTTATGTAAGAAGAAATGATTGAGCAAACCACTGATCATCTCTTGATGTCAACTCTAACGTTTCAAGGTTCCTCCTAATTCCTATGGAAGCTGAGTTCAACAATTCATGTCTACTACATTGTATCAAAAACTTATCAAGTTACATGGAGCTTCAATTCCTGCCTAAGAGGGGCGGGCTAGCACTTCTGTCGCTCCATCCCCGCATGGGCAAAAAACCTGCCACTATCTCGGCTGGGCTACCAAAGGCTCTAGGGAAGTCGGATGTACAATTGCCGTCAAAATTATGGTGATGGTGGGCATTGTCTATAGTGGCAACAAAAGGTGCCAATGTTATTGATAACGGCTGCATTAGTCTAGTTGTGATGGTGGACATTAGCGTTAGTGGTATGATGGGTATCTTGGTTGGTATAGCAAGTGTTGACATTGTCGGTGATGACAAGCATCAAGGTTATTGATAACAAGTGTTGACCTTAATGGCAACAAAAGAAATTGACCTTATGAGCAACCTAGGATGTTAGGGTTGTTCATGATGACAAACATTAACCATGGTGGTGATAGTGGGTGTAGGTTTTAATGACAATTATCTATTTTGTTGGTGATGACAAGCATCAACATTGGAGAAGACAATGGACATTAGGATTATTGATGATAATGGGAATTTGTGTTATTGATATTGGTGGCATTGGGTTTATTGACAATAACGAACATTATCTTATTGGCGATTACGGAAGTTGACATTGGTGTGGACAATGGGCATTAGCCTTGTTGGCGATGGTGGTTGTTAGTAGTAATAACATTATTGATGGTGTTGATGATGGGTGTAAGTCTTGGTGGCGATGCTAGTGTCAGCCTTGGTGGTAATGGATGACATGAACCTTGGTGGAAATGGATGGTGTTGCCCTTGATGGTGACGATGATTGTTAATCCTGGTGGTGGTGACAAATGTCATGTTGTCGACAATGGTCGATGTTGACCTTATTAGTGATGGTGTTAATTAGTGTTGTTGGTAATTATGGATGTCAATCTTGGTGGAGATAATGCCATCATTATTTATTGGTGATGATGGGTGTAATCCATGGTGGCGATAACGAGTATCATTGTTATTGGTAATGACAAGCTTCAAAGGTATTGGCGACGCTGTAATGGTGCATGTTGACATTGTTAATGACAATGGGCTTAAGCCTTGGTCTAGATGGTGGACAATATACTTGTTGGAGGTGATGGATGTTATCCTTGTTAGGGATGATGGACATTAGTTTTTTTTTTTTTTTTTTTAATTTATTTATTTATAACGAGTGTCAATTTTGCTAGCAGAAGCAAGTAACGGTGTTGTTATCGGTGGTTGGCCAATAAGGTCGATGCTCAGCATTGCCAAAAGGCTTACACTCATTCTTGCCACTAATGTCATCAACCATTGTCAAGCGAACGTTGACTTTTGTCATTTCTACCAAGGTTAACTTTCAACATTGCCAACATGGCAAACACCCAACATTGATACTAATGTTGAGGCTTTCCTTCAATACCAACCCTAACACTAATCGTCGATACCCACGTTAAAGCTTGAGATTGACACCAATGTCGAATCTCATCATTGTCACCAACGTTGATGCTCACCATTGATATCACATCAATGCCCTCCATTGACACTATGTTCATGATAGCCATCAACACCATTGCCGATGCTAGTCATCTCCAATAACATTGATGCTCACCATTGCAACCAAGGTTGAAGTTCGTAGTCATGATCATGATCAACGCTCGTTGTCACCACCACGGCTGAAGCTCCTTGTTGCCACTAAGGTTGATCCTTGCCACTGCCACCAAGAACGGTGCTTGTTGTTGCGAACTAGATCGACCCTTGGCGCTTCCACCAATCCCATTGCCCGCTTTCTTGATCACTATTCTTTCTTAATATAAAGTTAACAATAGAGTGGGCCATTGATCGTGTTTTAACAGCTCCAATGCCTCAATACTCCTATTTCCTCAATGAAAGCTAACTTTCATAATTTATGTCCATTATATTATATGATGAAACTTCTCTGGATATAGAAAGTTCATCCTTTGTAATATATGACTTACACTAGTGAAATCATTTCAACTAGGCCAATCCTCGTGTTTTTTTCTCCGGATTTTCATGTAAAACTTCCTTAGTATCCTATGAGTTGTTTGTAACTTATTATCTGCATGCGTGTAAGATTTTCGTGCGATACTAAAAGATGAACTCCCTCTAAATCTTCTGACATAACAAGGCCGCTAATCACTTGAACTGTTGAAGAAATAGGCTTAGCTTCATGGTTTATTATTTTGTTTTCTAAACATTTCTTACTATTGTTCCATTCTCTTCTCAGTATCTGCTATATATGTATCTAAAATGGATTTTTAGGGTTCAAAAAGGTGGATTGAAGACTGGGCATTAATTATATGCTCCTGTAATAAGGAATTTTGGATATTCAGTGCCCTTATATATAAATGGATTGAATGAAGCTCCATCTGATGAAATGTTGAGAACATTGTGCCATGGCTTGCTGTTTTTTTCGCTTATGCTCTCTGCATCGTCCATTGAGGTTGGATATCCCCGCTGCAATTGTTATATTGATAGTTATTTTAGTGCTGAAGGCATTCTTCAATGTCAGAAAGTAAGTGATTTCTTGATTGCGGCTGCCTACTTCTCCATACCTCTTGAGCTCCTATATTTTGCTACTTGCTCGGATCTGTTTCCCTTCAAATGGATCGTCTTCCAGTTTGGAGCCTTCATAGTCCTTTGTGGACTAACTCATTTACTCAATGTGTTTACTTACGAGCCCCACTCTTTTCTCTTAATGTTGAGCCTCACAATCTCTAAGTTTTTCACTGCATTGGTCTCCTTTGCAACTGCAATTACTCTGTTAACGTTGTTCCCTCAACTTTTGAGATTGAAAGTGAGGGAGAATTTTCTGAGAATTAAAGCCCGGGAACTTGACAGGGAGGTTGGAATGATGAAGAGAAAGGAGGAAGCAAGTTGGCATGTGAGAATGCTGACCCAGGAGATTCGGAAATCCCTTGATCGGCATACTATCCTCTACACAACTTTAGTGGAGCTTTCAAAAACCTTGGGGCTGCAGAATTGTGCTGTATGGATGCCGGATGAAGCTAAGAAGGTGATGAACTTGACCCATGAGTTGAGGCAGAGGCATTCAATGGAGTTGGTGTTTGAGCATTCTATCCCCATTACTAATCAGGATGTTGTTGAGGTTAAGGAATCAAAGGGTGTAACAATACTCAGGCCTGATTCTTTGCTTGCATTGGCAAGCAGTGGGGGAGATCCTGAACCAGGGCCAATTGCTGCAATTAGGATGCCAATGTTGAAGGTGTCCAATTTTAAAGGTGGGACGCCGGAGCTTGTAAAGGCCTCTTATGCCATATTGGTGCTAGTTCTCCCTAGAGATAATTCTAGGATTTGGAGCTTTCATGAAAAAGATATTATCGAAGTAATTGCTGATCAAGTAGCTGTTGCTCTCTCTCATGCTGCAGTATTGGAGGAGTCACAATTAATGAGGGATAAAATGGCTGAGCAGAATAGGGCTTTACTGCATGAGAAGCAGAATGCCTTTATGGCAAGTGAAGCAAGAAACTCCTTCCAAAGGGTCATGAGCCAGGGAATTAGAAGGCCAGTGCACTACATCTTGGGTTTATTATCTATGATGCAACAAGAAGAATTGAGTCCTGAGCAAAGGCTTATCATCAACACTATCACAAAAACCAGTGGAGTTGTTTCAAACTTGGTAACTGATGCAATGAAGATATCTAACATCAACAATGAGAGATTAACATTGGAGAGAAGGTTGTTTTACTTGCATTCTCTGATCAAGGAGGCTGCTATTGCTGCTAGGTGCCTTTGTACTCGTAGAGGATTTGGTTTTGGCTTTCAGGTTGATAATGCTGTACCTGATATAGTTGTTGGTGATGAAAAGAGAATCTTTCATGTTATACTTCATGCCATTGATAGGTTGTTAAGTGGTTATTCTGAGGGATTTGTTAGTTTTCAAGTTCATCCCTATAATGTACCCCAAGATGGTGAACAGCAATGGATCTCATGGAAAACAAACTTTCCTGGTGTTTTTGTTAAGTTTGAGATTGGGATCAGAATACCAGAATCTAGTGATTCAAGTTTATCACATGAACGCATTTGGAAACTCGAAGCTGAGGGTTATGACATGGGCCTTGGTTTCAATATGTGCAAAAAACTTGTGCAGGTAAACATTTTTAAAACATTTACCTTTCAAATCTGAACATTGATGTCAATGAACTTTTTCCAGGGCCTTGAAACTCTGTTTTTCTCATAAATGATATTAGAATTTTAGTTTACTATATTGTCAGTTATAGATCTTATAATTCAAGCTATGTTGTCAGAGGTACAAGTTTAAATAGATGGAAGAATCATTTGCGTTATACTTTTTTGTTGTAGATTTAACGCAAGTCATTTATCTGTGATAACACCACGCACCTTGGACTAGCCCTTATCGCAGCCAGAGCTTAATTACTTCGTAGACAAATCTCCTCAACATTAGCAATTACCAGAATCATTGCTGATTGTTGCCATCATCCTAAGAAGACCATCCTCTACACACTAAATGTCTTCTCACCACCTACTTGGCCTTTAAGATGGTCATCTGCTCTAACTTCCAACCTAATAATCTGGAAGAACTCTACTCCCTTTTGTGTAGTGGAGAGACAAACCTACAAATTGAAGCTGCCAGAAAGATTGCTTTTCTTCTAGTAACCAAAACACCAGTTGCAATTGTTATTATTGGGGTCTATGGCCATGGCCACCCTAGTACCTACCTCGGACATGGCAAAGCTCATCCCCTCAACTCCAAAATCGGCCAGTCCTCTTCCTCTGATTATTGAGATGGCAGATTTTCCTCTCCACTACACACCGACAAATTTGCAGCAAAGTTGGCCATACGGCTGCCCGATGATGGTATCATCAAGTTCTCTCATATACTGGTCAAACACCAACTCCACAAGCTCTCTTTGCCTAAACCCGATCTCTGCCATCTACTCAGCAATCTATCTTGAACGGTACCTGAACTCTAGTGCTGCTTCACAGCTCACTGATCTCCATAAACACTTCCAAGGGTTGCATCAAGTTGCGCTTGGACAAGGCCACTCTACTCCTTGCTCCCCACTCTTGCAAGTAAGCCCCTTCGATCTCACATTCTCCATGTCCAAAATCTATCCTATAATTTTATCTCTGCCATTTCCTTTGATGCAAATGGCTACCATAAAGGTCTAGAATACTCAACACACCAACCTTGGATCCTGCCATAAGAGCATCTACCTTGTCTGCTACATCCTTAAGCCCTGTCATAAGCGCCTCTACCTTGCCTACAACTCTTCATAGTAGCTATTTTTCACCTACCTTGCTCTTAACTCCACACAATTGATTCAGGATTTATGGCATTGACAGCTTGGACTGTGACACTCATCCACAATTTCTATGTTAGCAAAAAGTAATCCCATAATATGTATCCACCCAACTGTCAGGTATTCCACATGCCAAATAAATCCTGTACTATCACCATATTCACTCAATTTCATAGCATGGAAATATCTAATTTCTCAATTTAGTCAAAATTCTTTTAATTGACGGAGGGGTCGAATGCCTCATTAATCATGACAAACATCTATTTGGTTCACTTGAGCAAAATGGTGTTGCTGAATGCAAGCACCAACACCTCATTGAAGCTATTATAATATTTTGTTGCTATTCTACATCATTTTAGATAGATACTCTTCTCATTGCTAACCTGTGTCATTAATTGCACACCGTCTCCCGCTACAAATAATAGATCTCCATGCCAATTACGCTTCAACACCAAACCTGACTACTCTAATGTAAAGATATTTGGTTGCCAGTGTTTCCTCTAGCTGATATCAGAAGTTGTTGACAATCTATCACCACACTAATCTTCCTTTACACTGATTGGCTATGCCCTCTTGCAAAAAGGATACAAATGTCACGAGACAATCATTGACAAGACCTGCATATCCCTCCACGTATTATTCAATGAAGCAATTTATCCTTAACAAACCATCTCCTCCCAACCACCACAACTTGTTCCCCAAGCATAACCCCCACTTGTTAACACCTATATCAATTTCCAGCATTCCCTTGTAGTTAAAACATTACAAATCCATAACTCCAGACATGAATTGTATAATACCTAGCCCACTTCAAACAATAAACACCACCCCATGCTCCCCCTCACCTCCCCAAAAAAAATCCAGCAAGTTTGCCAATGCAAAACCTTGTTCTTGAACGGTCACCAACCTATCAACTAGAGCCCCTACCTCCCATGCACCACATAAATACTCCATAACCCAAAGGCATACTAAGGTTAGAAACTACTTCCACATAAGCTTCTACCTGCTATTCATTTGCTATCAAAGACCACAAATGGCATATAGATGTTTGAAGAATTTCAACCCTCCTTGAACAAGGAACTTGGGTCCTCGCCTTTCTATCACCAAATTAAAATCTTATTGTATGCAAATGGACATTCCAAACCAAGTACAATATAGTTGGCTCCAGTGCTCATTATACAACACTTCTTGTCGCATAAGTCTACAAACAAGGTTATGAAATTTACTATATCGAAACATTCTTCTCGACCACCGAAATACCTAACCATTCACATTCTCCTCATTGTTGCTCTCATGCATGACTGACCTATAAATAAATTGGATGTTTGTAGTGCTTTTCTTCATAACAATCCCAATGAGATTGTATAAATGACTCAACTCAATATATTTAAAGAACCTCATGACGCAAATCCTGTTTGTCTCCTAAAGAAAGCTCTTTATTGCCTCCCCTCAATAGTAGTATGCTACATTTACCAATCACTTGCAATTAGTTGGTTTCACAACTGGAAGTACCGATCCCTCCATGCTTCTGTACAGCAACATCACCACTCACATATATATCCTCATTTATGTGGATGATAAGGACATCGGACCATGGAGAGGCTATCGTAGGAGAGGCCGACGATCTACGGCCGTGATTGAGTCATTATATTTCTAGTTTTTGTTGTTTGTATGAGACTTATTTATGTTATTAGTTTGTTCCCTGTTTTGCCCAGCTTAGTTGTTTATGTTGTGGTTGATATTGAGGGGTATTGTTGTCTTTTATTTATCTCCTGTTTTGCCCTCTACTTATGTGATGTGTCATAGGCATTATTGTCTTGTGGTTATTTCTTTTGTTTAGGCCTATATACGATCAACAATAATCAAGCCTTCAATGAATGCACTGATATCCTACAAGCAGAGATAGTTGATTTGCAGCAGATGCAAGTACCTGCGAGCCACTAGGGGACCCATCGCACACATTAAATGCTATCTAAGAGCAGATATATAGTAAATGCAAGTACCTACAAGTAGCGTGGGAGAACCTACAATGTACACAACATCTTGCTAGCGAAAGTGGCAAGTGATTTGTAGTATCTTTTGCGAAGAAGAGCAGATGACCCATCTGAAGAAGATGGAGTTGATGCTCAACTTGCTTGAATATTTTGGATCAACTGATGTTGCTGCCTTACAAATGGAGCTTGTGCAATCCCCGTAACAAGGTATTGACAGGTGATAGATACAACTGTCCTGATTGCAGACAATGATGCTCCTATGCAAACATATAGTGTAATATGCAATAAATGTAAACATCTGCTGTTAATGGCGGAAGTGCTGTCTCATGTACGACAATGGTAATCAGCAGCATGCAACAAGTATCACTGTATTCTAGTTGATAACCGCGCTGAGGAGAAGTGCATTCACCTCATATCAGAATTGAAAGTTTTGTTGATCAAGTACAACTGAGTCCTGCAATTGATAATTCCAAAAGACTACTATTGACAGTTGGGTATAAAGGCAACTCGACATACAGCGTAAACCCGCTAATACACTATCAAAGGAAGACTCCAATGTGTCACAAGAAATACCGAAGACTTCCGGCAATTGCAAGTATATGTAAGCTGCTGTAAGAAACTTATTGATCTGCTACTAGCAAGAGGCCCTAACTGTGACATTAAGCATGCGAGGTTAAATGACTTTATGAACAATTATATAGAATCAAATAATGAGTTGTTGAAGAAAAATATGTCTCATTTTATCATCTCTTTAGAAATATTGAGGATCTTGAAGATATGTTGCATCACTTGAATGGGGAGCAAATATCTGGAGATCAAGCCTCGCCACCCAATGTCCTATATTGTGCATCACAAATGCATAAAATAGACCCCTCAAGTATACTATTATGGAGTCATAGAAGAAACTTCAATGTACCATGTGCGTATCAGATGCTAGAATGTAGCTTAGACATCGAAGATGACCTTGCACTCTGTCATATCCATGCTTCGAGGAGACTACCTCGTGATGAGTCAAAGACAAAGAAATCTAATGTTGCACCAGTCGATCCTTTGGTCTTATCAGATAATGATACCTCATTTATCACAAAACAATCATGTCGTTTGGATGTCCTTATCCAGTCTAAGCAAGGATCGGTTGACTTATGAAATTGATCACTAAGGATAAAACGGTAATCATAAGGAAACTTGCTGGACTAAGTGGTTTGCTTATAACTTATCAATGGAAGCAGAATGCACCTCATGTCATTGCTTCTACGGATAAGGACGGAGCCTACATTAGAACGATGAAGTATCTCATGGCACTGGATTTGTAAAACTCATACAAGTGGATAGAAACTGTTTGGAGATTCCTAAATAAATTTGACACATTTATCAACAGTGGTTAGTTGCATAGTTGATAATCACAAAATACCCCTTTACATTATATGCAAATATTTTGAATTGCCCTCATACATGCATTTGCATAATAATCCTTTCAAGGCATGTCATTTTGACATTGGAATCATATCTCAAAATAGTCTCTCTGCATATATTTACAGGATGCTGAGATTTCATTCTAGCATGTTGCCTCGACATTGCTATTTCATTCCAAAAATGATCTCTAGCATGCATTGGTGAGATGCAGGGGGTTTCATTCAAGAATGTCATTTGACATTGTAATCACATTCAAAAATACCCACACATACATTTACAATAAGCAGAGGGTTTAACTTAAGTACATATCTCAATATTGTACTTACATGCAAGAATATGGCTTGTACATGCATTACAATATGTAGGACACTTTACACGAACATGAAAACTATTCATGCCGATGTGTATATACACACACATGTACATCATACACATCCAATGCATATATAGAATTGCCGTATAGATATATCCAACAAGATACGTACAAAAGCATACACCCGCATGGGCTCCGGTGAGCGTATTGTAATGACATACGTGACATCTAAGGATGCTATGCGGGTTAAGAAATGAATTTAGATTCAAACCCGATTCTTTTCATGGAAGTGCTCCGGTGAGCGTATTGTAATGACATACGTGACATCTAAGGATGCTATGCGGGTTAAGAAATGAATTTAGATTCAAACCCGATTCTTTTCATGGAAGTAGACAGAGTTGATAATGTTCAATCAGCAAAAAAATGAAATAACCTATAAAAATCCCGATAATGGTCGCGTTGACAGAAAATCTCAACCTGAGGGGTCCCCAAACATTCAAAATGCCTCCCAAATGCACATGAAAATAAAAAACTCCAAAAATTACCAAAATAAAAAAAATTTAACAAAATTGAAAATTCATTCGTCAATAATTTAAAGCAAAATCCATTCATCCTTCGTAACTATTTGCCAAGATGGACAAACTTAAAATCACTTTAGCTAACAAAAAGCTAATGTCTGGTCGAAAATATTATTATGATTCATTCTCAAGTAGACAAATGCTAGTAAGGACATGCCATGTGTCTGGTGGCTTGCTGCTAAATGACACTACTAAATTATGGTCATGGCCAAAGCTCATATGTTCCTTTATGGCTTCAAATGATTGAGTAATGAATCAATATGATATGATTGATAGGGCATAAAGCTCTCCGTTAACTAAGGTGGATTCAAATTTATCTTCTTAGACAAATATTCAACCGAGGTCTACAAAGTGCTCTTGGCCGAAGTAACCCATGGCTGCCGACAATGATCCTTCTATCAGGTTGGGTCGACTACCTCCTACGACTAAGTAGACTATGGACCATGATGGCTCGGGATGACATAACCATAGGATCTTGATCAGTCTCATTATCATTCCCCCACCATCCACTATGAGGTGATGAAGTTTCCAATTTTAAATATTAAATTCTCAAATACCAAATCCATGCTGCTACTATATGCCAGATGCCACATATCTCTATGTATTTATTTGACAACTAGCCTTAATCGAAAGTTCTCTCGCATGATCGGGAGGGGTAATTAACTATAGGGGCTTGCACCTATAGGAAACCATAACTCATATCATAAAGTTCTTGAAAAATGAGGTAAAATCTATGAGTAGTAGCTTATCTACAAACCCAATCTGCCTTCTAAAAATTTGCCTCCGGTCTGAGGATGCTGCACGGGTTAAGAAATGAATTTATATTCGAACATGGTCCTTTGCCGGCAAGTAGATAGAATTGACAATTTTCAATCAACAAAAAATGAAATAACCTATAAAAACTTTGATAATGGCCGCATTGATAAAATATCTCAACCGGAGGGATCCCCAAACATTCAAAATGCCTCCCAAATGCCCATGAATAAAAAATTACCAAAATTTAAAATATTTAACAAAATTGAAAATTCAATCATTAATAACTTAAAGTAAAATTCATCCACCATCCGCAATTATTTGCTGAGGTGGAAAAACTTAAAATCACTTCAGCTCACAAAGAGCTAATGTCTGTTCGAAGATATTACTAGGATTCATTCTCAAGCAGTCACTTGTTAGTAAAGGACCTGACACGTGTCCTCTAACTGACGGTTTTGCTGCCAAATGACACCATAGGTAAATGGCTATGACTGGGGCCTTCTGAGTCGAGTGGTTTGTCGCCAATTGACATCAGAAAATTATGGTCATGGACAAAGCCCGTATGTTGCCCAATGACTTCAATTCGTTGAGTAATGAATTGACTTGATATGTTCGATAGGGCACAAAGTTTTATGTTTGCTAAGGTGGATTCAGATTTGTCTCCTTAGACAAATATTCACCCTATGTCTGCAATGTACCCTTGGACCAAGCAACCCATGACTGCCGACAAGGACCCTTCTATCAGGTGGATCGACTACCTCTTATGACTAAGTAGACTAGGGACCATGATGGCCTGGGATGACGGAACCATGAGATCTTGATCGGGCTTATCATCATTCCCCCACCATCCGCTACAAGGAGATGAAATTTCTAATTTTAAATACTAAATTCTCAAATACCAAATCCATGCTGCTACTATACAACATATACCACATATCTCTACGTATATGTTTGACGACTATCCTTAATCGAAAGTTCTCTCTCATGATCGGAAGGGGTAATTAACTATAGGGGCTTGCGCCTATAGGAACCAGAACTCAGATCATAAAGTCCTCGCAAAATGAGGGTGAAATCTCTTGGTAGTGACTTATCTAAAAAACCCAACATGCCTTCTAAAAATTTGCCAAATAAATGTAAGTGTAAAAACTCTCATCGACGACCCGAAAAAGTAAAGAAAGAGGGGGGTCCGCGGAGAGTCCGGGGTTTGAATTTTTGGAGCCCACAACATTTTATATGTGCATCAAATATATTTGAACTGACTACCGCTTCATTAGCAATTGCATTAATATGCAAGAGATCTCAGTTCATCACATCAACAGACAGGATCAACTAGTAGACATCTTCACCGCAGCTCAGCCAACTGCATGATTCAACCTATTACGTGGCCAATTGCTGCTGCAGTCAGGATCATCAATTTGATGGGAGCGGATAGCACCACACAGCATAATATACCACATATTCTCGTCTGTTAGCCGATACGAGCACAAGCACCTCTTGTGCCAGCCTTTATCACAGCCGTAGCATAGTAACCTCCTAGACCAATCCTCACCATTAGCAATTACTGAACTATACCGCCTGTCAGCTACCTAAGACTATCTATGACCACGGTAGATTGGAAAATGAGAAATTCTCTTCAGTTTATCCCTTTCTACCATGCTGCTTAGCAACAGCGGAACCAGGCGGTTTCATTTTTTGTATTTTGTTTATAAGTTTTCTGTTTATGATAAAAAAAATCCGTCTGCTACTTTGTTACTATTTTTAGTTTTATATTTAGATCAACTTATATAGTTATATTATATATGTTTTATATTTAAATCAATTTAAATTGTATTGATAATGATGCTATTATTTAGTTTTTTTTTTTAAATATGAAGAACATGTTGTATAAATTGTAAGTGTACTTTATCTTATATTTAGTAGTTTATTTTTTAAATAAAAAAATATTTAAAACTATCAATGCCGGCTTTCTAAACCCGGACGAAAAAAATTAAGAGGATTTAATAAAATTAAAAAAAGGCCCCCTCTATAAAAAATTTCTGGCTCCGCCACTGCTGCTTAGCGTATTGTCTTCCTCGTCATAATAATGCCAATCTACTTTCTAGTATAGCAGCTACTGTATTCTTTTTCCAGCTTTCCTAGCAGTCCAACCTATCGCAGAAGTCTTTAATCTAGAGCAGATTCGCAAGGATTTTACAGGATTTTTAGTAGCATCGATGGAGCACTTTTAAGTTGTGGATCTTCTTTTTGATCCTTTCCTTTCCCTCTTGAAATTTGCTTGATATTTGAGAGAATTGAGGAGAAGATGTACTACTGGTTTCTTTTAGAAACTAAAGTATTTGGGCTTTTATTCGTGAGAGAGGATAACATCCTGTGTCATATTTATAGAAATTGGGGCACAAGTTGAATCGAAAGTTAATCTTCTGTTCTAATCCAAATTCTTATCTAATCTTATCATGAAATTTAAATTTAAAAGTATCCAAAAGGACTAGTTCTTCCTAATTTAAATAAAAGTAAGTCTAATAAATTAATACAATTTAAATTCATTTTCTGGTTTGGTTCATTTTATACTTGTATCTAATCATAAATCTTGATTTTTGTTTATATGCTGTATTAATCTTTCTTGATATGTAGTTATTTGCAAGATAACAGCATTTGTCCTTGTTCTCACTATTATCGAATGCCTATAATTTTAACTACTGTTAAGAAGTTGACTCTTGTTTCGAATTTTTAAAGTAATAAGATTTCTGTAGTTTGGGCCAACCAATCTTAGAACTCAGGATTAAAATCTTATATGAAAACAATTACATATACATATCTCACAAAAAATATCGACATTGTACACATAAGCCTATATGTAGTTCTAATTCATTCCTTTTATGGTCACATTAAACAAAGGCCTTCCGATGACCCGATTAGAAATGTTTAGATATTAGATTTAACTTATGTTAAGAAAGACAGATGTAGACTTAAAAAGACTTGGTTAGAAAACATTAGAAATGATCTTTTATTAGATTTAAATGAGAATTTGATTTTTAACAAGACACAATGACGAAAAAGCTACGCTGATTTCAGAAATTGTTTGTTATGTTATTATGCTTTTTCTATTTCATAATGCAGAAAATTATGAGCTGATTGTTCCTATGCTAACCTTTCAACATTTTTTCTGACAGATGATGCATGGGGATATCTTGGTTGTTCCCAACTCCCATGGTTTCCCCAAAACTATAGAACTAGTTCTTCATTTCCAGCTTCAACAACCTCCCACTTCTTCCTCCGAATTACAGGGACTCCTCGCACACAATCACACTCCCTCCACACCAAATTTCAAAGGTCTCAGAGTTCTACTTGCAGATGACGATGGCCTCTGTCGATCAGTCACACGAAAACTCCTCGAGAAACTTGGCTGCGAGGTCGCTACAGTTTCTTCAGGGATCCAGTGCCTCTCTTCATTCAGTGCCTCTACTGCACCATACCAGCTTGTAATTGTAGAGCTTCAAATGCCGCAGATCGATGGATTTGAAGTAGCTAAGAGGATTCGGAAGTTGAGAAGCAGAAGCAGGCCTGCAATTGTGGCTCTGACTTCGAGCGCTGAGGAGCTTTTGTGGCAGCAGTGCTTGCATTCAGGTATGAATGGTCTGATCCGAAAACCTGTCATGTTACAAGCCTTAGGTGATGAGTTATATAGAGTCCTCCACAAACTTAGAACTGAATGATAGATAGATAACGATGAACCATATTAGATTTTGGTGATAGGCATTATGGATGCATATGTATACTAATTGTCGCCAGTGATTCGATCATATTTAGGAAAAAAATATTTATCAGGATATCTGGATGTGATTTGCAGCAAGATGGGAAGATTAGGGTTTTGTTTGGGTAGCTTTCTTACTGCTTTTTAAAGCAGTTTTTTAATACAAAAACTTTTTAAACTAGGTATTTATGTGTTAGAAAGCAGCTTTAAAAAGTAATTAGAAAGCTGTACAAATGAATGCCTTCTATCACTGAGCATTTGTTTTATAATTCTAACCATTATGGTTTCGGTTGAGACGAATTTTTTATTGCTTATTAAAGTAGATTTTTAATTTTTAGATTAAAAAGTTATTTTAAGAAGCAATAAGAAAGCCATTCCAAACAAAGTCTATATCAGAACATTCTGGTAAAAAATTATCAAATATCTGGATACAATTTTTATTCATCATATCTATGGATCACAAACTGGGAAAGTACTGAATGGGGGGGATCATTATTCCATTTATGAATAATTTTTCTTTGTAACCTTCCTAAGACTGATAAACAGGTGGTATTTGCCGCTATCATGTAGCTTTTTTTTTTTTCCAGTGATCAATATAAAAGAGGCCACTCATCATCATTCAGCTAAACAATTTTCCACCCCAAAAAAAAAAGTGCTATGATTTGGCCTTAGATAGCTTTTGTGCTTTGGCCACTTAGAATTTGATATTGGTATTTCATTTTGATTGAAAATTATCAAATACAAATAGAACTGTGATTTAAGAGATTTAATTTAGCAGACTTTCCCAACGATAGCTTCACTGCTACCCTAAAAAGAGATGTGGGGTCTGTGAATAGCAGAGCCCTGCATTGGGTACCCACACTCACACCCACCCATATCCAATGGGTATGAATAGGTATGGGTACGCCCATTACCTTAATGCCTTGTGGGTGGATATGGGTGGGTACTCAATATTGGGGGATAAATCAATTTGCATTGATAATCACCGTATATCTTATATTACTGCAATCCTCACTACGTAGTGTGCAACACTTAACCATGCTGCGACTACAGTAAATTATGATATGCGGCTTGAAAGTTTGCAATCAGAGCAAAGGGCAAATAGCCTCAAGGCTATCAGTTCGTGGCAGAATGCATTCAAAAAGTATGGAAAGTGGTGTGTACGACATCCCAAAAATCACCATGGGTGGGTGTGGGTGGCCGAATCCTGTCCGAGTAAAGCATGGGTACCCAAGCATAATCCCATGTAGGGCTTTGGTGAATAGGCAAGGTTTATTACAGGAAGGAGCTGCAAGAACATAGAGAAACGCCTTAGCTTCCTATTGTCTTAGGGCATCTCCAACCGAAAACTTCATTTTTCACGGCAAAGTAACGCAAAACTCCAAAATGGCGCGGTGATGCTCTAATCGAACGTCATTTTAGGTGTTTTTGAGAAGGTAACGATCGCCCTCCCTTTCGCGTGTTTTTCCGGTTGAGAGCAAAAAATGGCGTGAGTGAACAGTGCGACGCCAATATTGGCAACATATAGAGCTGTACATAATTGTGAACATATATAGCAACATATAGAGCTGTACATAATTGTGAACGAGTATAGTTTTATGACTCTAATACTCCCCCGCAAGTTGAAGGTGGTTTCTGAACCGTCAATTTATCTCGAAGTAGATGGAACCTTGGTGTTGAAAGAGATTTTGTTAATATGTCCGCGATCTGATCAATTGTGCTGATAGGTAGAATTTTGATGTTTTGTTGTTGAATGTGATCCCGGACGAATCTGTGATCTATCTCAATGTGTTTTGTCCTGGCGTGAAACACCGGATTATTTGCTAGAGCTATAGCGCTGAGGTATTGTCACAAAATAGATCGGTTGGTTTGTACTGAGGAATTTCGAAGTCTATTAGAAGACGACGAAGCCACACAATGTCCGCCGTTAGAGCAGATAGTGCTCTATATTCCGATTTGGTGGATGACTGAGCAACCGTTGTTTGCTTCTTTACCGTCCAGGAGATTAATGAGTCTCCCAAGAACGAGCAATAGCCAGACGTGGATTTTCTTGAGATAGGATCGCTTGCCCAATCGGCATCTGAAAAAGATGTGAGAGACAAGTTAGATTTTGTAATCGGTATGCCATATTCAAGCGTACCTTTTATGTAGCGTAGTAGACGTTTTAAAAGATAGGCATGCTCTGGCAATGGTTGATGCATATGTTGTCAGAGAAAATTGATACTGTAAGCAATGTCTGGTCTGGTGAGGCACAAATACTGAAGGTCACCAATTATTTTTCTGTACGTGGTTGGATCTCCCAGGATTGGATCGGACTGGATTTCTTTAGGCAATTTGGTGCACGTCGGGTTATATAAAGGATTACATCGTGTGAGTTGTGCCGCTTGTAGGATTGAACTGGCATAGGGTGCTTGGGAAAGAAAATATTTGTCAGTATCTTTATGAATTTGTATCTCGAGAAACGAGCTTGCATTGCCTAGTTGTTTCATTGCAAACTTCCCATTTAGCTGATGGATGATCTTGCCGATTTCAATGGCATTGTTACCTGTGAGGAGAATGTCATCCACGTACACAAGGATAAATAAAGTAATATTTTGTTTTCGAAAAATAAGCAAAGATGGATCTGATTTGCTATGAACGAAACCTATGGAAAGAAGAAACGAAGTGAAAGTGTTGTACCATTGGCGCGGAGCTTGTTTGAGGTCGTAAATAGCTTTGTTAAGACGGCATACATGATCTGGATTATTGGTGTCCTCAAAACCTTTTGGTTGAAACATGTATACCGTTTCCGTTAGTGATCCATGAAGAAAAGCGTTTGCGACGTCCATTTGATGAACGGGCCAATCATGCTGGAGTGCTATGGCCAGAAGAATACGAATCTTAGGTAGTTTTGCAACCGTACTGAATGTCTTTGTGTAGTCTAGTCCATATTCTTGATGATTGCCTTGCGCCACCAGACGAGCTTTGTATTTGGCGATAGATCCGTCTGAATGAAGCTTTGTACGGTAAGTCCACTTACATCCTAGGATAGACGAATTGTTTGGCCTAGGAACCAGCGTCCACGTGCCTTGAATCTGCAGTGCGATAAATTCGGCGGCCATCTCTTGTCGCCATTCTAAATGCTTGCTGGCTTCGGTGTATGTGGATGGAGCTGACGGACATTCCTGATTGCTTTGGTAATGAAATAAGTTGAGACGATTTGTTGGTTTAAGAGACCCGGTCTTATATCTAGTTAGCATTGGATGCTGGACATTCGGTCTGCCGGCATTGGCTGCAGTACTGATCTGAGGATGCGAGTCAGAGATGGTGAGTTGATCTGGAATAGGTGCTGAATGTGAGCCTGTATTCAGGTTGTCTGTTGATCCAGAAGTTGTATTAGTGGATATGTTTTTCTTTTGAACCACAGAGACGGGTGTGAGAAAATTGGACGAGACAATATCAGTTGGTGTGTGATCAACTGCAAGTGAAGTGGTGAGAAATTGAAAACAATTTTCATCAAATTTAACGTGACGAGAAATAATAAGTTAGTTGTGAGATCAAAACACTTATAGCCTTTGTACTTCTTTGTGTAACCCAAGAACACGCAGAGCTGAGATTTTGGTTGCAGTTTGTTGCGAAGAGGAGCTGGTGTGAGGGGAAAACATGCGCACCCAAATGTCCGAAGATGTTCGTAATCAGGTACACGATGATGAAGTAGTTCGAACGGGGACTTGTTGTTGGTGTTTGGAGATGACATTCGGTTTACTAGGTAAGTGGCTGTTAGCACGGCATCCGGACAGTATGAGTATGGAACGGACGCGGTGTGCATGAGCGTCCTAGTGGTCTCAATGAGATGCCTGTGCTTGCGTTCTGATATGCCATTTTGTTCTGGCGTATGTGGGAAAGAAATCTGATGAGAGATTCCATGCTGCTGAAGAAACCTGGTAAATGCTTGGTTTAAATATTCACCTCCGCCATCTGTCCTAATGCTTTTAATTTTACACGATGTGAAGTTTTCTATATACGATTTAAACGTAATAAAAATATTAGAAACTTCCTATTTGTGATGCATAGGAAATAACCAAGTAAAGCGTGTGCAGTCGTTAATGAACAATACATAGTAAAGATAACCAGAATTTGATTTTACGGGTGCAGGACCCCACACATCAGAGTGAATCAATTCAAGGAGCTTCGTAGATCTGTGTTTAGAAGGTTCAAACACTAATTTGTGAATCTTAGCCTTATTACAAGAATGACAAGTATTTGAATGTAAATCTATATGCAAGTGAGGTTGAGAAGAAGCAATTTTATGCAATGTATTCCGGCTGGGATGTCCCGTTCGGTTATGCCATAAGTTGGAGGCTGTGTTGTTTGTATGAAGAGCACGTTGCATGGATGTAGGTGGTGTCCTGATCGAATACAGTCCCTCACGACATGGGCCTTGAAAGATGACTTGTTGCGTCTTCAGATCCTTAAACACAAAACCTGACGGCTCAAAGATAATAGCAATGTTATTATCCTTTGTTAGTTGCGATATCGAAAGCAAATTGTAATGAATAGACGGATAATGAAAAATTTTAAATAAGTTTAGCTTACGAGAGGGAGTCGGTAGCAAGCCTTTACCGGAGTGTGCTATGCCTACCGAGCTCCCATCGCCCATGGTAATACTGTCGGTCCCAGTGTAGGGATTAGATATGGAGAGATTGTCCAGCGATTTAGTCAGATGCGAAGAAGCCCCTGAGTCAAGGTACCAATCAGTGTAGTCGGGTGACTGATCAGCCATCAGAGCTTTGTTCGACGTTCTTAATTTTGGAACAAATTGAGCATTCATCCGGTGCCAACAATCATTCGCCGTGTGACCTTTCTTTAGACAAATCTGACACGTTGGAACCTGAGTAGGAGGTTCTTTAATGACGTTTGCTGGACCATAAGATCTTCCTTTGCCCCTTCGGCCTCTATTGGAGAACAAAGCCATGGTAGATGAATCGGGCACCGCAAGATGTCCTAGCTCAGACGCCATGTATATCTCTTCGATAATGAGGAAGGCATACAGCTGATCAAGATTGAGCGGTTGCGTCATTGTTCTGATGGACGTATTGAAGGATTGATAGCTGGGAGGGAGACCACGAAGAATATAAAGAATTATGTCTTCCTCATTGATGTGGCCACCGTCAGCTGAGATTTGATCTACCAGTGACTTTA